CAGTGACCGTAAACTTTATCCGTTATCACTCCTGCAGCTAAAAATAAAACAAAGTTTTTCAACCAACAACAAATTGACTGACTGCATATGTTTTCACCGGTTAGCAATCTGATTTTTCGTCATCTAGCTGGCGAAGACTAGAATTAGTTTCACAGAATGAAGAGCACAGTTGTAAAGCAATCCTCCAACTGTGGCAGTCCAGGCGGTTTGCGCCTGGCTTTTTTTGTTCTTTATTTTTTGCAATTTACTGAATGTGTGGAACGGATGACATCAAGCTAACTATAGCTTTCCGTTCGTTGGACTCAAAAACCGAAAGCTGTTTCTGCAAAAAGTATCATTGGAAGAGCTGGAAAATGCTTAGGTCAAGAATTTTTTACAAATTCAAGAATTTTTTTCAAGAAAAGTCAAGAATTTTTTACAAAAAACAAAAAAAAATTCTTAAAGGTGAAAAATGCCATATGTGGGAAGCCTTTTCGCAAGCAGCCAATAACAAACACGCTAAAAGATAATGATAAAAAAAATTTTCGAAGGCTAAAGCTAAGTAAAGCAGCAAAATACAAAACTACTGCAAAAAAACGCTGGCAGTTGAAAGTATTAGAATTCTGATAAAGATTACGAAAAAAAACTTGTTCGAATTCATATGAAAATTTGTTTTTAACCGCTGTAGTAGTGCCATTTCAATATAAAGCAATGAGACGAAAATGCGGGACAATAAATGGACAGGGGCGGATTACTGAACGGCATCCATGCATTGTTAAATAAAGCTTGGGAAAGCCCTTAATATAACAGAAGGATTCAGTTGAAGGCTTGCACGGATCGTATGGAAGCGATATGCACAAAGCGAAGAATGAAGAAGTTGCTAGCTATAACAATGAGGAGAAAAGCGATAATGGATCAGCTGCTACCAAAGTAGTAAAGTAATTTTCGAAATACCTGCTATTCCAAATCATTTAAATTTACCAAAATTCATGGAATTCGATCTCCTTGGAGCGTAAAGCGATGGGTCCAGTAAATGCGATCGCTTTCGAGATGCTGTCCTAAAATAAACAGATGCAGACGCAACAGTGATATCTCGAATAAAAGCTGCTCCTTACAAGAGGAAATGCGAAAGTCACAAAGCCTGAAGCAAAAAAAGACCTTGGAAGACTACGATCGTAGCCAGCTGACACTATCGAGTCATCCTCTTCGTTGATCGAACGCAACTGCTTCATTTCTTGTTCGCCTGCCTAAAATTTGATTGGGAATACACCAGCAACACAATGCTTTGAATGGTTCTGTCCGCAGGGAAGAAAATTAAAAGTCTTAACTCTCTCGTACTTATCTTTCCTGTGCCAGTAATATTTCTACCTCTTGCATTACACAGTTCGTTTTATTCTTGCCTTCTTTTCTGCGTTCTTCGTATTACTTTCATGCTACAATCATGCGATAATCAGATATGCATGTACGCTTCAACAGCATACTTACAAATTTAGATCAAACCGCTATGAGCCGTTACACGGTCGGCAGCTAAAAACTGAAAATTTCAGCTTCCCAACTTCTTCAGTAACAAGGCTAAAAGCATCTAGCAAATGCAACAGCACATATATGCAAAATCAAAGTTAATATATGCATTCAACACACTTGAAGCATCTGACCCAGCCCTGACTGACAATCTAATTTTCATTCACAGTTTTTTTTAGCAACTTCCAGTTACAGTTACCAATAATGCATCGCTTGGTGTTCTATTTGCTAGTGCCCTTAACAGATTACTACCTCGGATTGAGAACTACTATCTCTGAAGAAATTACTTTCTCAACGTTTCTTCCAAAATAAGCATTTTGCTGTTTCTAGAAGTTCTTGGTAGTTTTTAGGCATCACCACTTCGTCTCGAACTCCTCTGCCCCAAAATCACAGTCAGTACACACCACCGACAAACAGTCACATTTGCATAAATGCGCAACAATAATTAAGTCTGAATTCGATGAAGACTCTTCACTTGTTTATTAAATATTCGAAAAATTAGCACACAGAAATTTCGAGTGAATTACCGAGAATTTTCGCTCCCTGAATTTATTTTGATTCGCAATTTTTTCATTAAGATCCATCGATAAATTGGCGAAGCGATTCTCAAAATCAATGATGAACCACTGCACTGCTACAACCAGTTCAGCACGAACAAGCACCGAACCATCGAATGTGCATTTGGTCGACAACTTATCACAAACTTCGTGCTCAATCTGCCAAAAATTGACATTCCACAAAATGAAAACTGTAAATCATTATGCTTCAATGCACAATTTTACAGGATTTTCTTCCCCAAAATCCCTAAGTTTTATACACTTTCAGTAAAGGAATTGTCAAGTATTCCCCTCTCGACAGTAACTCAATATCGAAGCGATTTTATCAAAAAATCCCCTTCGACATCTGACTGAAAAAAAAAATACAAAAGTCAAGAAAATTGCTTTTTTTGAGCCAAGCTTTCGATGCGAATTGCTTGGCTTATATTGGGACAACATAAACCACCACTAGTCTTCAGAATTCGATTCTCGAAAAAAATAAAAACATACGGTTGTGGCATGCTCATTGTTCTCGGACCTGTTCCGAACAAGACAACCAATAGCATAGACAGCTGCTGCGCGCACTTCCGGGATCGGGTCCTCCAAAAATTCAAGCACCTGAAAAAACACTGTTAAACGAAAACCAGCAAAAACTAATATAAACTACATATCTTGTCTGTCAAATATCAATACATGTTCATTCAGTACATTTTTTACGCTCTTCTTTTTGCTCATGCACAATCTTCAAGACCATGAAATTGCCTTATTTTGGGCCTTTGCACTCCCAGTCCAGTGACCTACAGAAAATCCTGTACCGCTCCGGCCAAAAATTAACATTCCACAAAATGAAAACTGTAAATCATTATGCTTCAATGCACTGTTTGTCAGGTTTTTTTTTCCTAACAGTGATAGCCGCTGTACTCAGAGCGCCTGGAAATTTGCAGTACACTTCCTCATATTGGTGTTAGCCGCTATGAAACAGCATGAATTATCACTAGCGTTAGAAAGGCCGTTAAAAGATAAGGTAAATACCAAAAAAGTGACAAAAAAAACTCAATATGTCGCTTTTTCCCCAAAAGGACAAAAACTGAAAGCAAAAAGATGAATGTTAGTCCTCTCCTCTGCCCCCCCCCCGGCTCCACCGGTAGGTAGACTACCCGACGATTCAGGACAGTCTCAGGAAGTGCGAAAAAATGACTGATAAGTTCATAGGGTGACTGCGAAACAACATCCGATCAACGTTTCAAAAAAAGTAGAGTTTCTACTCCTATCATTATGCAAACAATTGAAATCCACTTCACTGACCACTTCTGTACTATCACCCCTCCTCCTTCCCCTTTCTCCTCTCACCCTCTTCCTCATCCACCCAATTTTCACAATTAATAAAAAAAAATACCCTTTCGTAAGCTGCCAACCGAATAGCTTGCCACCTGGCAGTATCATAATCGGCCCAAAGTCGGCCAAGACCAATAAGCAACCACAGTCGTAAAAGCCTGCACTGGCCCAGTGCTGTGTCCGACAAAAGCTCAATGCACAGTGTGACATATCGGTTCTCAGTAAGCACTTCTTGTGCTGGCCTGTGAATAATACTTGCGTTGGCAAATGAGAAGCAGCAGTAGTTCAGAACAAAGAATTTCAATCAATCAAACATCATATTTCACGGCTACAACAGACATTTCACCGAATCGATGAATTTCCAGCGAGTACTATTTGGCCGTCTCGTCTCCCACCCCTACCCCTTCTCCCGTCTTCTCGCCTC